TATGTTGAGTTTGCCCGTGAGAAGGGAACTCTGTTTGATAAATGGTGTGCAACATGTAAAGTTAGTGATTTCAATGCGTTGAGAGAGCTAATCCTATTAGAGGACTTTAAAAAGTGTTTGAGCGTATTGTTGTGTACCTGAATGAACAGAAAGTAGGTACACTTTCTGTCGCCGCTGTCCTGGCTGATGAGTATGTGTTAACCCATAAATCTGCTTTTTCTCCAGACTCTGCTGTCTCACGTCCTTCCTCTCCTCCCAGATCCTCTAACCCACGTGGGCTGAAAGAGGGAAGGGAATGTTTTTACTGCCACCAGGTCGGCCATGTCATTGCAAATTGCTTGACACTAAAACGCAGAGAACAGTCCTCACGCTCTTCTCAAGCAAAAGGGGTAGGACTGATTAAAGCAGATCATGGGGTGAACACTGACTCATCTGATCAGAAAATTGATGACTGTTTTAAGCCATTTGTGTTTGATGCCTTTGTGTCACTGACTGGTGAGTCAGCTGATAGACACTCCATACAGGCTTTGCGAGATACTGCGTGCTCTCAATCTGTTATTCTGGCATCAGCTCTGCCTTTTTCTGATAAAACTGCTTGTCATTACAGTTCAGTTCTTAGAGGAGTTGAAATGGGTTACGTGCCACGGCCAGTGCACCGCGTCCATATTCAGTCCTCCCTTGTTACTGGATTCTTCCCAGTAGCGGTTTGTCCTGAACTGCCAATCCCCGGTATCGTATTCCTGGTGGGGAACGATATCGCAGGAGGTAAGGTAACTCCCACACTAGAAGTCCTAGATCAACCTCAGTGTGATGGGATCCGGACATCAGATCAGACACCCCCAAATGTATTTCCAGCCTGCGCTGTAACTCGCGCTCGTTCCCATGAAACTAGCCCAGATGATCGGGAAGTTTTGTTGTCTGACAGTTTGTTCATGTCAGTTTTTTCAGGTGACAAAGAGGAGAAGAAAGAGGCTGAGAGTTTCTTATTGCCTGTTCAGGATGAGTCTGCTGAGCAATCGCCCTCGCCTGGCCCAGAACTGCAGTTAGCTGGAGGTGCGCCATTTCCAGTCAACTGAGCGCGCTTGAGCCAGATGCAGAGAGCAGACCCGACACTGCAAGAGTGCTTTGCCAAGGTGGTGAGTAACGACAAAGCAAGGGATGAAAAAGTAGCATATATTATGGATGGTGAGATGCTGTTACGTAAATGGTCTTCCTTCGTAACTGGTGATTCTGATTGTGATTCTGTTTACCAGATAGTAGTTCCTGCAGGATGCCGCCAGCATGTGATGTCAGTGGCTCATGAGAGTAAGTGGGCAGGACATTTGGGCATAACCAAAACATATCAAGCCATCCTCCGACATTTCTATTGGCCAGGTCTAAAGTCTGACATTTCTAAACATTGCCGTGCTTGCCATGTGTGTCAGGTTGTCGGGAAACCTAACCAGATTGTCCCTCCTGTGCCATTACATCCCATTCCTGTGATAGCAGAGCCATTCGAGCGAGTGATTATCGACTGTGTAGGTCCTCTACCTCGAACTAAAAGTGGAAATCAGTATCTGTTAACCATTATGTGTGCTGCCACTCGTTACCCAGAGGCTATTCCGCTCCGTTCGATAACCGCTAGTGCCGTAGTGAAAGCTTTACTGAAGTTTTTTTCTTCTTTTGGATTACCGCGGGTGATCCAGACAGACCAGGGTTCTAATTTTAAGTCTGGTCTCTTCAGACAGGTACTCAAGAGCTTGAGTGTGCACCACATTGTGTCTTCGGCATATCACCCCCAATCACAAGGAGCTTTAGAGCGCTGGCATCAGACGCTAAAGTCGATGCTCAGGAAGTACTGTGTCGAGACTGAGAAACAGTGGGATGAGGGAGTTCCCTTTGTCTTGTTTGCTGCCCGTGACGCTGTGCAGGAATCAATTGGCTTTAGTTCTGCACAGCTTGTTTTCGGCCACACACCCCGTGGGCCGCTTAAGTCACTGCACGAACAGTTCTTGTCTTGTGAGTCTGCGCCCAAAAAGCACGCGTTAGACTACGTCACCCAGTTCTGTGAGCGCCTTCAACGAGTTAATATCCTCGCTAAAGCCACCCTTAGTGACTCACAATCCACCATGAAACGCTATTACGATCGTTCCGCTGTATCTCGCAGTTTTGAGGTGGGCGATAAAGTTCTGGTGTTGCTGCCCATCACCAGCTCCGTTTTCGCCGCTAAATTCTCCGGTCCGTATGCCATTAAAGAGCGTCTCAGCGACACTGATTATGTACTCTGTACTCCAGACAGAAGGCGTTAAGACTAGAGTCTGTCACATAAACATGTTGAAACGTTACCAGTCCTGCGAGGACAATGTTAGCTCTGCTGTTCCCTCGTCCTTAGTAGCCGAACCGTTAGAGGTTAAAGCTGCTGCTATCATTGTGACAGAATCTGTGGGCGCTTCCCACGAAGATGATCCACCAATGCACGTCCCTACACATCAGCCGGTCCGCCTTCCAAATTCGGAAATGCTTGCAAACTTGTCATGCTGTTTGCAGCATTTAACTGCTGAACAGCAATGTGACCTGGAGGTGCTGATTGAACAGTATTATAGGCTATTCAGTGATGTTCCAACCCGCACTTCTGTTTTGAAACATGATATAGAGGTAAAAGATGCGCGTCCCATAAAACAACATGCTTACCGTGCCAATCAGACTAAACGTCAGTTGATGAAACAGGAGGTAGAGTATCTCCTACAAAATAATTTTGCTTCTGCTAGTTCCAGTCCGTGGAGTTCGCCGTGTTTGCTAGAAACTAAGTCCGATGGGTCTCCCAGGTTTATCACAGACTTCCGCAAAGTAAATGCTGTTACTGTTCGAGATTCGTACCCTCTCCCTCGCATGGAGGATGGCATTGATCACCCTGTTGCTTACTTTTCCCGCAAGTTCAACCGACACCAGGCAAATTATTCCACCATTGAAAAGGTTAGCACTACAGCACTTTGAGGTCTATGTTGGGTCTACTTCTCTACCTGTTACAGTGTTCACTGATCATAATCCCCTTGTTTTTCTGTCCCGCATGTTTAATCACAACCAACGACTCATGCTGTGGGCACTGTTGGTCCAAGACTTCAACCTCGACATCCGTCATAAAAGGGGGTCTGAAAATGTGATCGCTGATGCTTTGTCTAGGCTGTAGAACTTAGCTATGTGTTATGTATGTAACCTTGACGTCAAGCCGCAAGGGCTTGTAATTTAAGGGGGGGAGTGTTACGGCCGCCGCTTTAGTTTATATTCATTATGGTGTTTCATGTGATTTCCCTGTTGAGGATTGGTCTTCTTGAGCAGAGACCGCCTACTTCCTGGTTGCTGTCCCCTGACTTCAGTGATTGGTGTGGCTGCAAGTCCACTGAAGCTACCAATCAGGAGACTTCAATCAACCTCAGCTGCACTTAAATAGCTTGTGTGTCCACAGTTCAGGGCAGCTGTGAACTAGTGATCAGTTCGCCTTGCTGTTGGTTGCACACCATTGTGTTAGAGTGTTTGTACTTTCTAGTGTTGCCTGGCTGTTATCTGAGTGGATTCAGCCAGTGCCTTTGTATCTTTTGTGACCCTTTAAGTTGTTCAGTAATTGCTAGTTTGGTTTTGTTTCTAGTTTGTAAGCTTATGGGTGCTGATCTCTTTTTGTTCTTCAGTATTATCCAGTCATTTTCATTTTGTGTACTAGTTACTTGTCAGCACCTGTATAGCCTCTCCTTTGTTGTATTTCATTGTGCAAGCACACTCTCCTTAATTAATTAAAACACCTGATTTTAACCTGAACCTGTCAATTGTTGTATTCCATCTCTTTTTCCAATTCCAATTATATGTTACTGCTCCCCAAATCGAGCTGGGTCGTAACAGTATATACTCACTTGCGAGTTTATTAGGTACACCTTGCTAAAACTTAATGCAATCTCTTGCAACAGCGCTACAATAAATCCTACCTTCATGAAGGTTTTGTTGAAACTGTTTTAGAGAGATGTTGATTCAACTTTGTTTTACAATTGGAGACTGTAGATTGTGGTGCTGTTGATTTGTTTTGTGTTATTCTCAAATGTGTGGGTGGATAAAACACAAAAAGCACAAACTTAACAATTCCTTCTGATTCAGTGTGTAATGTGACAGATTAGCCAGCAGATGTCACCTTCTACTGGACCTCTATCTTTAGCTTTAGCACATTAGCACTCACATGAGCTGCAACCTATATATTGCACACTGAATATACAGTCCTCTCCTATCCCTAAATTCTGAAATATCTGCAACATTCATATGACAGTTCATGTCATAACACATTCAACATGAATTCTCCGAAATTCTGACAATACAACATAAGAATGTTTTAAATTGTTTTTTTATGCAGGAATTAGGTCATATCTACATGTTATGTGTCAATTGTTTTTTGCCTTTTTTAATCTTTTGGCCTAAAAATCCTACCTATGTAATCAAAGATAAGATACTAGTTAACAGATATAGAAGGAAAAAGATGAAAAAGGAAAGAGTCCATATCTGTAAAGGTGAGAATAAATTGTTGCTATAGTGACAAATATCACCACATTTATCAGCTTAAAGTAATTTCTGAGCAATGTGGGTTGTGAGTGAGGGTCCCAAATACTACAAAAACTGTTTCCATATTTATAAAAATATATACAAATATATGTGTTTGTTTGTCTGTCAGTATTAGTATTGTAGTTGTATTATGTTGTCTGGGTGACCAAATCCTTCCACAAGACAGTACTGCAGCGACGTTCAGTTAGTCCATAAAACATATTAGGATACAATATTGTCAGTATTGATAGACAGTAAGAAAATATTAAAGTGACATGTTGCGTAGGTGCATGCAACTAAGGCGCAGAGGACAGAGAGGAAAGGAAATAAATTGTGTTTGAAGCAGGATGTTTTAACCAGAGACCTGCAGTGCCTCCCAGGGGACAAACACTGGAATATGTGATACAAGGTAAAGTAATATTGTTACCAAGTAAGAAAACAGGAAATGTGGAAAAAATGATTTTATTAAGTAGTTATAGTTATAACATGATTTATTTAAAAAAATAACAATATACTTTCATTTGGATAAGAGAAATTGATTTTAAGGGACATTACACTGTAAGATTTTGTAAAATATAGAGGGGGGATGAGGGAGAAAAACAAGAATTCTTGGGGAACTAATTACTAAACATAATAATGTAGTTTTTGGTATAGGAAGAAAACTAAAAAAAATATTTATTTGGTCAAGTAGAAAAGAGTAGTAAAAACAGCTGAACAGAAAATCAGGTGTCTGATATTGAAATGTACTGTCACAATAGATATTTCATAAACAATAAGGTCAAACTGTAAGTGGCACTTCCATAAAATAAAAAATAATAACATAATAATATATTTTATTTCTAGCACTTGTTGACACAAAATCAACAGTGCTTTACAGAAACCAAAATAGTGAAACAGTGAAAAAATCAGTCAAATTATAGCGTTAGTGTCAGAAAATCATCTTTAAATAACTAAGGTCCCCACAGAAATTAGCTGCCTCTGATGGTCATGTTATTGCAACAATTGCTATAATATATAGAAAAGAAACACACACCAAGGGTTGTAGTGAGGTGCTGTTCATTGGAAGTAGATGTGAGAGCACACTGTGGCTCCATATGAATTTCTCTTTTTTTCACACTATGACTTTTTGGCCCTACCAGCCTTCTTCAAGATCTGTGCACTTAACTGTAATTAAAGTGTAAAATGGTTTAACAATGACACTTTATATTACTCTGTTATTAAACTCAATAAAGCTCTGAACACGCACTGTCTTGAATTACAGCCTGTTCAACAAGGTTTCTCTCAGTTTCAGGTGTTAAAGGCACACAGGTGTGGTCTGCTACTTGTGACACCCACAACATTGTACAGGTCTATTATAAAGTGTTGTACTTCTATATCTCTGCACCTCATTAACTATTTTATATACACATTTTCCTATATATTTTAAGCAGGAATATCACAAATGTAAAAATAAACAGCAATTTTTGTAGCTACATTCATACTTTAATTCAATGCCTCTTTATTTCTCAGGATTCTTGTTTGTTCCTGAATAACTACAGTAATGTACCCAATAGTTATGTATTAACACATTGTATTTACCTCCTATTATCTAATGTATTTAAGCATAGTATGATTTAAAAATATAATACCAACGGTTCTTTTAGACTATTGCTGTTATTGTTAATATTGTTAGTATTGTTCAGATTTTTCAACACTTCATGTTTCTTAGCCAATAAAGATATTATTATATCCTATAAATATTTAACGGAATTCCGGTAATTAATATTAATATGCCTACTGGAATTATAATGATTCAGATACTGTATTTAGCACAGTTTATCATTTCTTTCCTTTCTAAAAACATACAGAAAACTATTTGGCAGCTAAATTCCTTAGAATAATCTTTTTCCTAGACGTCTTGTTTTATTCCCTGGTAACAATCGTGATACAACAAATGCTTCTGTATTCTATATTATTTTCAGAAACATGCTGCCAGCTGGAATACACAAGAGAAATAGAAATGTTTGAATAGTATATCTAAATTAATAACCTGGAAGATCACCTCAGTTCCCTTTTTGTTTTTTGTTGGTGTTTTTTGGTGTCTGGGGCTGGGGCAGTTTGACTGACAAGTGAAACAGCTTATGATATATGGTCTGCACTCCTCATGGCTCCATTTCAGTCCTTTTTTCTTGCAGTTTAAATAATGGATGATCTCTGAGTTCTGTCACCTCTGTCATCCGGACTTTCTGCTGTGCGCAGTGTGTACAAGCCTGTGAAGGTCTGAAATGCTTCTTTATTTGATGTCTTCTTTAATGTTACAGGAGGTAAGTCCTTTGCTGGAGTACACAGAACTTTCAGTCTCTGTGTGGAGAAACAGAAGGATCATTTTCCATTAATGTCCACAGTATGTTGACTGTGGTAAAGTAATGAATCTGCTCAACTACAATTATGTTTTTTCTATAAAATACACACCTACTGTCAATAAAGGACAGGCAAGGCTTAAAATCAAAAGCTAAACTTTTGTTTTGTTTACTGTTTTTGCTTGTGCTTGCACTTATCTCTCAGACTGTCCACACAATGACAGCATTAGTTGTTTCAGCAATTGTCCCAAAACATGTTTATGTTTAAGTGAGAAAGTCTTTTAGAGGCTGTAGGAAGTATGACTCTTTTCTGACAAATGAAGAAACAGAGCCACAAAGTCCACAGAGGGATGGAAGATGGAGCTTGTGGGTGGTTGGATGGGTCAACAAAACATCAGACTTAAACGGGTAAACACTGTTCATTTCCCATTTCCAACTAACAGTTGCACTAACACAGGTTTCTTTTAACTACGACTGATCCCTAATCATGACCAAGTTGCTTTATGCCTAAACACTGCATGAAAATTTGGGTAAAGAAACTGCAGCAAACACTACAAACCTTTGGGAATTTTGCAGCCTTTTTTCAGTTTTTTTTAGTTTTTTACATTTTACTGAAATGAAAACATGTGCATATTTAATAATAAGCACCAACTAGAAACAAAAGTTTGGTAAAGTTCGCTCATTTAACCTGTCACAAATGTATACCTTTTTCAGGTTTCAGGTTTTCAGTTGGTAACCATTCTACAGCAACTACATTGTCTGATCTACATATGTTTATAACAACATGTGACTGTACCTGTCTCAGTGTTCCCGGAGTGACATTCACAGCGTACAGCATCCACAGAGGAATCATGAGTGTTGAAGAGAGAGTAAAGAATCCACCAATGGCGTAGCCCCACCAGGGATATTCATAAGTGTTGTTGAATTTGAGCGGGGTATATTTGACCAAGGAGAAAACAAATGTGCACTAAAAAAACACACAAGCAGAGAGGAAAGAGAAAGCATTATTAAAGTAGCTTAGCCTATTACTTAAACTCCTGAGGTGTCCAACCTAGGAATGGCCTTGTTGACACACTTCACTTCAGGCTGATGTTACCTGATGTTGTGTGTTGTGCTCTTCCAGGGTCAAAACTGTGAGGGGCCATCAGGGACATTATTCAGAATTACCTCTCACAAACACATGTGAAATGTTCTTACATACACTACTGAAACACTCTCACATAAACAACTGGAAGATTATTCGCTCGCACACACTACTGAAAAGCTCAACAGTGACAACAGTGACACACCATGTTCAGCTTTTAAATATATTTTTTTCTTGACCAGGTGTTTCCTCAGGTTAGACATGTTGCTCTGGCCAAAGTCTGCATGTCCTGACTCACTGTGAGTTGAACAAGCTGCAGGGGCAAATGTAATGTTAGTCTCTCTCTTTCTCTCTATACCCTACCTTACTCTCTCACCCAGATGCGCTCTCAGGTACTGAATTTTGGTACGACTGAATGTAATTTGGTCACTACCCTTAAAAGTACAGAGTTCTGTACCCACCAGTACCAGGCGGATCATCCATTCCCACACACCACCACGTTGTGAACCTGCTGGCAGATCAAAAGTCCAACTTCAACCTGCGACAGAACTGCTTGCAGCCTATCCTGATTCAAAGCAGCAAGAGCCTTTTTCAGTTCTTGTTCGGCTCCACTGAAGTTGGTACCATTATCTGACCTTAGGTGTGCTACTTGTCTTCTCCTGCTGATAAAACAGCAGCAATCATCAATGCATTTTTGACTGCAGCTTGTCATACAAGTAAATATAACTGAATCACTTGATCTTTCCTTCCTTACTTTGACTGATAAGCCACAGAGTCGTGAGGCGGTGCGTGTGTGGTTACGGGTGTGGGTGTTTTTAATTGTGCTTTAGGACCTAACCTCTCTCTCTCTCTCTCTCTCTCTCTCTCTCTCTCTCTCTCTCTCTCTCTCTCTCTCTCACCCAAACAAATGGACCTCAACCAAAGTAAGCTTCTTGGTATTGCTACTTTGCAGCAAAGACTGCAGCCAGACATAGAAGGTGAAGCTGGATACACAAAATAAACGCAACTGGGAGCATATTATAGTTTGGTCTATGAACTCTCTCTGGATTGTGCCCATCTCAATGATTTTCAGGCTGACTAAAGCAGTTTGACCAGTCTGATTGCCAGATCGGCCACAGCAGAGTGACTTGGGGTTTCTCCAAAAGTTGATTCTGTTTAAATTTTTCCACCTCTGCATTTCAGGTCACTAGATGCACCATTCAAAATTAGTGAGAGGAGTTGTTTTTTTTTTGCCACAGTGTCTGATTTGGAATCAGCCCTAAGAATTGTGTCCACTCTGACAGCGAGGACGGATGCTTTCAACTCAAGACAGGGAATAGCCTTCAGCGGTGTCACTCTGGCTTTACTGAGCAAAAAGGTGACCTTGATGTCCTGATTTAGCTTCCAGATGTATGTTACTGTTCTGTATCCACTTTCTCTGGGATTGGCAAAATGATATAGTTGGGCATGCCTTACCTTTCCAAAGTCCACTGGCTTGATGCTAGGGATGGTAATTGATTGATATTATTGATACCAATGCCATTATCAATTCTCCTCCTCAAATTTGATCGTTTGCTAGTTATGGGTTTACTAGCAGTTTGCACACCAGTCCCAGTAATTATGTCCAGTGCCGCATCGTGCATTAAACCTGAGGCCTTGATAGTAGCACAACAACACTCAATTTACACAGCAAATTAAAAGTGCCTTCTGGTCATTGAAACAATGTATTTGCTCTTACACCAAGAAAAACATATTCAAAGCGCATTTTCTCAAGATAATAAAATAATTAACTCTTAATCTCTATATAACAGCATTAAAACAAATAATTATAAGCACTGCAGCTGCCATAATTTGCAATACAGCAAATGGTCAATTATTTTGATGTGTCCGAGACGGAAATTAAAAAAAAACACTGTAGAATTGTATTTTTTGCAAATGTAAAGCTTGAAGAGAATTATTAATCTTGGTCTTTTTAAAGTACATGTGGTGGCAGCTACAGATAAACAAATCACATATCTAAGTTCTATAATTTAATATTTCTTCAGAAGAAACAAGCCAGTGATGAGTTAATAATTTACACAGATTCTTAAAAAAATTCATTCAAATTGACATTGAACAGCCTTGAGTTGCAATACAGCACCCAATCAATGGTAATGGTTTCCATCTGGTTGAGACATGGACTACCTTCAGGACAGAAGCCTCTGGCAGCTGTCAGATACACTCGCTTGTTAATACAACGTGAACAAAGTTACAAGGAAGGCAATACTTACAGTACAGATAGCCGGTGTGAAGTACTGCCAACAGTATTTCATGAAAGGCCATGGTCGATATCCAATCATGTCCTGTATGTTATCATACAGACGATCTGCACCTGAAGAAAATAAGTAGTTAGCGTTATGGTCTACACAGTTGTTTCTAATTTCAGAAAAAAACAGATTGCTAAGACAATATTACATTTTTATTCTGTATCTTTTTGTATTCCAACACATCTCTGAGGAGACAGTAATACTGACATTGAGTGAAATATTCAAACTTAAGAAAATTTCCAGTAAATTTAAATTTTTCAAAAAATTCAGCCTCACATAGTTGGTAACTTAAACTTTAAGATCTCAACTTGCATTCAAAATAGTTACACAGGTTTAAACCAGGGGATCCCAACATTTATGGCCTGTGACCCCTTAAAATGAAGCAGTGTCCATCCACATGTCCCATCCTTGGTTGCATTTGTCTATGATGAGGTTAACCATGCCAGTCATGTGATTCTGTTTATTTTGAATAATTTTCATAGGAAGTCACATGAAAAGAAGCAGATATTAGAGCAATATGTGAAAACATAAACTTTGTATCGCATTCATTTACCTCTTTTTCTTTATATCCTGTTAACTGTCTCATGACCCCTCAGGGTGGGAACCACTGGTTTACAAACTACATGAGCTTATAAAGGGAATCCAGCAATGGCTCTGGTAGCTTTTACCAAGTTAAAAGATTTTCTTACCATAGATCCATCCAACACAGACAGACTGAAGAATAGCAAAAAGCAGGAGTGTCATCCCACTGCAGGCATAGTAGTCGAACAGCTGGAAAATGTAAAGGCCTCCCTGCAATACAAAGAGAGAAGAGTACTTCAAATGAGCCCAAACAAGGTTGTCATCATCATGTCAATATACAGCAAACAAGGTACAATTATACAAAGGTTCTACAAATAAGTATTTCCTTTAGGTTATCTGCTTCTCTCTTTTATGTCTTCACCAGTAACTGCTTTGTTTGTTTTTATTTAAAAAAATGTACATTTGCTACATTTATTACATTGATATATACTGTAAAGAAAGTCTAATTTATTAGAGAAATCAGTTTCACAAAGTTTTCACCTCTCACCTCTGTGACCATCAGAAGGCCAAGAAAGAAACTTCCAACAGAAATGGCAAGAAGAAGGAGTTTACGGCGACAGTTGTTTTGAAAGAAGGCAGGATACATGTCGGAGATGGTTGTGACCAGTGCCTCTTGATATACAAACTGTAAAAGTGAGTGATGAAAAGATTAAAGAGATTATTTTGTATTAATACAAAAGTAATGTATTACGGTGTCTGAATGTAAGTATTCAATTCCAAACTGATAAATGGTCCTACCTCGCTATCTAATCCTAAGAAGATGATCATAACAAAGAAGAAAATAGCCCAGAGCTGGGGAAGAGGCATTAGAGCCACAGCACGAGGATAAGCTATGAATGCCAACCCTGGACCTGCAAATGTGCATGGAAAAAAAGAAACATTCTTAAACACTTCAAACTTCTAAACTATCACTCTGCAGTTCTGTGAAGCATTATTAACCCTCCATACCTGATTCAGCCACCAATGAGATATCCACACCTTGTTCCTTTGCCATGAAACCAAGCACAGAAAAGATGGCGAAGCCAGCTATAAAGCTGGTTAAACTGTTTAACAGGCACAGGTAAACACAATCTCTGTTGGAAAGAAAAACAAAACATTAGTAAACTGGTGCTCTAATACAAACTACAATAAGTAGTTTGAACAAAACTGAACTGAGTGCAGATAAATAAAATACAAACCTGTAGCAGTTGTTGCTGTACTTGTTGTAACTTCCTAAAGACGTCAAAACACCTGTGCAAACTCCATAGGAGTAGAAGATTTGGCTGCCAGCATCCATCCATACCTGATTTGGATGAATATATGTTTAGTTAATATGGAAATCTCATAGAAGTTAAATGTATACCATCTACTATTAATATCTACACATTAGGAAATGTTTTTAAATGGTTTTAAGGTATCTGCTAAGTTGTAAAATGGTCATACTCAAAGTAGACCTATATGAAAAACTTCATTGTAAAGTAAGTAATAATACTCTGCTATAATAATTATTTTAACATGGTTTTCCTACATAAAAAAATAAATAAAATTCTGAATCTATGAACTCTTGTTGTTTGAAATTGGTATGAATAATCATCTTCCACACAGAGCCACTAGCCTAGCTGTAGACCAGCTTATGGTTATATTCAGACATTCAAAGCACTTGGTTAAGGCAAAAGAGTTAGAGAGAGAGAGGGAAAGATTGTACCTCTGGATCAGTGAGGCGGGATGGGTCTGGGTAGAGGTAGAACATGATTCCATCTTTGGCCCCTGGTAATGTAAGACCACGAACAAGAAGCACCACCAACATTACGTACGGGAAAGTGGCAGTGAAGTAGACCACCTAAGACGGAACCAACAGATGATTTTTGTGTCACTTTTTAAGATTAAATGCTGTGAGAACAGGATTTACATGAAGTCAGACATTACAACATTACCTTTCCGGTTGTTTTCACTCCATTCCAGACACAGAAGTAACACAATGTCCAGGCCAGAAGTAGACAAAGGGCCAAATCCCAACGAATGTTACCAATTTTCTCAATTCCACTGGACAGGCCCAATATTCTCCTCCTGCAACAAAGTTTTTTAAGAAACAATACAACAAAAGCAGCAGTCTTTATATGATGCCTTAACTCATGCTACAGTACTTACTCCCAAAATTCGACAACTGAAGATGTGCTACTTCCGTACAGCAGAGCCGATGTTTGATTGTGACCATGCTCAAAACAGCCGTCTTACATGAAAATATAAGAGAGGTTAACAAGGTGAACTCATTGCACAGTTTTATGTCATAGCTGGAAAATAATGGTACCTGTGTTCCAGCTGTTGTGACAGCTTGCCCATGGCAGCTCAGACCTGAAGGATGAAAACAGGTAAAGAAACGTCCAAGCCAGTATGATGATGTAATACACCCCAGTGTACAAAACAACCACTTGGCTGCCGTAACCTAAGCCTGTAGAAAGATGGAGATTTCATATTGTAATACCATGAATAAAAACTGTTAATGTTTGTTGCTGAGAAAGCTATCAAAATTGACACCAATTCATGATTCAAAGATCATGTCCAAATATAAACTGTATGCCAGTAATACATTAAAGCAGCGCCAAGCAAGGTATTGTTTTTGGCCACTTCAGTGCACATATTAACAACAAGATCACACACACGTTTGACATATCATTGCCATGTGGAAAACAGTTCTGAGGTACTTGTACTTTACTTGAGTATTTCCATTTTATGCTACTTCATTCTTCATACTTAGCTAGCTAAAGTGCTTTGACAGACAAAGCAAAAACAGGATACTCAGAAGGAAGTTACAACAGAGAGCCAGGCACTAAGGCCAAACAAAGGCAAGAAAGAATATCAAGAATGAGTACGTTGCTTTTGACATTTCTGATAATATATCACTACTTCTTCTTGTAATGGAGTATTTCTACATTGTGGTATTGGTACTATAAAAAAGATTTTAAGAGAAAGAAATACAAATTTAAAGGATATCAAGTTGATATAATATAAGACGTTAGCAAACAGATGCCTATTAACAAATCATAGCAAACGTAAGTGATGGCATTTGTTTTTCCTCCTGGGGCAAGTTGTTCAGTTGCTTCATTACTTAATGCTGGGTTATGGTTGTTGTATAGTATATCCATATATATGAAGAAACAAGGTGTTTTCTCTCTGAGAGAAATGCCCTCATCACATTCACACAGTTATATGGCTGGACTAGACACGGAAGTCAGCTAGTATCAAATGCCTACTGCAAACACTGCTGATGATTTAAAAGTACTACACACTAACAATAGCAATCAGATTTTAAAGACGTTAAAAAGTTGTAGTAATAGACTCATGTAAATTGAAAGCTGATTGAAAGAATTATAGGCAGGCACTGGCAGGAGTAGGTAGCATCAGAGGAGCAACTAGTATTTCACCTCCACTTCCTCATTGTAACTAAAAATAAAATAATAGATAACTACGGCAATTGACCTTTTTCACAGCAGACATTTCGACTTTTCATAGCAGTAAGCTATTTCAGTGAGCCAGCAATAATTAGTGGGTTTGCAGCAATTATTAATGTTATTAAATACACCTGTTTTTCCTGCTATGACATGTCAGAATGTGTGCTGTGAAAAAGGTCTAGTTCAACTGAAGTATGAGGGAAACAGCAGTTTCAAGCTGTGTTCATAAGCATTTGTGTATGGTGAGTTTTTTTTTAACATCACACAGAACTGTTTTCTTATTTTTGTAGCTGATAGAAAATGATTGCTCTGAAGACTTACCTTCAAAAAGAGGACAGATTTTTCTCCAACATGTTATTCCACCCTGACTGGTGAACTGGCCCAAAGATGTCTCGAGGAAGAAGAGTGGGATGCCACAGGTGAACAAAAACAAAACATAAGGTATGAAGAAAACCCCTTTAAGATAAAAAAGAAAAAATTAAATATCTCATTAAAGCTTGATAAAATTGGATAAATTTGTGCACACAAATAATTATTTATAAAGATGAATGTACTTATGTAGCAATAGGATCTGTTAATTAATAGTAAGCTTGTCCTTTAAGGTTATACAGCTGTCAAAGAGGTGTAACTATTTATTATTAAGAAATCATAGTTACTTTAAAACTGTATTGATGGAGTTTAAGTTTTTTTCCTCTGCTGGCATTAGAAAAATGTTGCTCTACAAGCCAACTCTTAAGTGAACTTAATCCTTGGCAAGCCAGCTACAGCACAACCTTTGGTACATGATGTGCACCTGGCCACAACAACAAAGATTTACCTCCTCCATTTTTGTAGCAAAGGTATGGAAACCTCCAGACATTTCCTAGGCCAACAATGTGTCCAGCGACGGCCAGAATGAACTCAACCTTACTGCCCCACTGTTCCCTCTCCTGAGGTTTGGCCTGAGTGTCTCCTGGTCGTGTTCCAAGGTTCATCAGATTCATTTTCACCTGTGAGTTTTGTCTTTGGTCCATTTCAACCTTTAGTAAGAAGTGTATTTGTGTATTTGTGATTTTTTTGTTGTATAAACCCATATTAAATTCCTAAGATTCTTTAGGATAAAATACGTATAGCAAATACATCTTTTAGAAAAACCAATGAATGTGTGGGGACACACTATATATTCATGGTTTTATATGCCCTTTCATAATTTTTGCCTTAAATTCAATATTTCTATGTATAAGTGCAGTAAATAACCCATTAATGCCTTAAACAAAAGGAAAACATAAGCTAGATTTTAATATAATATACTATATATTTAGAAGTCAAAACTAAAAGATGCACAAATTACCTTCAGCATAGGAGTGTTTCCTCCTCTGACAGTTGCCTTCGAAATAAAACACCAGCCTCTCTCCAGGAATAAGTTGAGTGAAATGGGTTTCTGAGGAGTGGCCACTGAGACCAACATAATCAGTCATTTCTTTAGAACCAATAGAAACCAATAAAACAGCACACACACACACACACACACACACACACACACACACACACACACACACACACACACACACACACACACACAGTTTTTGTCTGTTTGCCAAGATAAAACAGATAACTACATTTCTTTATCTTTGGGCTACACACTTACATGTAGCACATCTGTTCTCCCCTTGTTGTTCTGTAAAATACATTTGAAAGCGCTGGGTCATAGTTGCTTCATTCGTTTCATGAACCAATAGTAATATGTGTTTTCTTTTTGGACTCAGTTGATACAAAGCTGCAGTTTCCCTCTCTTCACTTTCGTCTCACATTGCATAACAACAGGAACAAAAGCATCTACTCAGAGGATTAGATTTCTCACCTTTCTCTGTCTCATTGTTCTCTTAAAGCCTTCTCTTAATTTAGTATCTGGTGGTCCTGTGGTGTCTTTACAGTTACACACAAGTGAAAACATTTATATCTGGGGGGGGGATGATAATAAGATGCGCAGGTTGCATTCTAATCAATCTTTCCAGTGTTTAACTATCAATGTTACAAGGATATATTGTGCACGTAATCAGTCTCTGTGATAATGGAGGAAAGGAGTGATAGTCAACTTTAATTTAATAAAAAAATTTTTAACTAATACATTTCTGTGGCAATGTGACCACATTTCTGAGTTTATCATACTGTCTTAAGACAATAAGTATGCACAATATATCCTTGAAATAATCCTGTTTTGGATCATATTCAGAATATGATTATCTAAACACTGGTGCGTTTTAAGATTGTATTCTCTGCGATAGTGGAGGAAAGGAGTTACAAGCAATAGTCAACTTTATGGAGCTGTACCAACCATAAATTTATCAAGCAATTTTATTTAATTATGGGATTCATGTTGAATGTTTCAAAATACCCTTTAGAGGGCGCTGGTGGTGTGCAGAAAGTGTCCAGATTCCTCTGAGGTCAAAGAGCAGACAAAAAGAGGAAGAAAAAAACAAGCAGAGTTTGGTGTGCAAGCGAGCTACAATGAGAATACCAAATGGTTTTATTACTTGAAAGTTGTTGTTAAAGAGATACTCAAATTGTGGTTCACAAGCAGGTGGAGGACCAGGATTTGTTCTGCTGTAGACAGTTATTCTCCGGTGAGTGTGTTGGCTTAAACTGCATGTGCAAAAAAAACTTGTATGCCTCCAGAATGCTTAATATGGATATGCGACACAGAACACTTGATGTGTTTTTGTTGTTGTTGTTGTTGCTTAGGGGATGTTTTTGTTTCTTTGTTTCTAAGGAGACCCTGAATGGGAAGTCAAATACTGCATGTTTGCAGGCACTAGAGGGAGACAGTGGTCTGCAAAAGAGCTTTCTCTGAAACTGAGGCTCATCCTGTCCAGTCACAAACTTCCCCACACACACAAATATTATGTATACGGTAATTGTATCAAATGATGAAATTTGAAAATGATACTTGATTACACATACCTAATGTCCTCAGTTTTTTCTAAAAAAAACAAACGTTTGTAGTACCTGCACACCAGCAAAAATGCTTCTAGTAGAAAGGTGATGTTTAATTGACAAAATATTAAAGGACCAGTGTGTAGGATTTAGTGTAGTTGCAACTCGCCTCCCCTTCTAAGCCCGAAGGAGAAACTAGGGTGGCCCCTATCTGGAGCCAGTGTTTGATTTGTCCATTCTGAGCTACTGTAGAAACATGGCGGTTTAACATGGTGGACTCCATGGAAGGTGACCTGCAGCCTCTGTAGATGTAAAAAGCTCAGTGATGGGAATAACGGCATTACTAACGGCGTTACTTTTTTTTCCAGTAACGAGTAGTCTAATTGATTACTCTTCCCATCTTAATAACGCCGTTACCGTTACTGCCAAAAAATGCGGCACATTACTATAATTGAAGCTGTTTTTTTTCATCAGACCAACTAGATCTCTGAGACGAGAGGCAAAGACTTTTTTTTACTGTTCTTCCTTTGTTAGTGGGCAGTGCACGAGACAAGCGCATAAATGCTGACCATTGGCTGAGGTTGAGTAAAATTTCATGGTAAGCCAATCAGAGGTAGAGTTGGGCGGGTGTTCGAAAGCAGACAAAATCGGACACACAATGAACAACACAAGCGAGTCAATCAACGAGAGACAGGTATGGCGAGTTGTGTTGCATCTTATTACATTTGCACTAAAAAGAGTGTATATGTTGTTTGAATACATTTTTGGTACATTGCTTAAAGAGCATAATTTAATTTAGATTTATTTGTTGGCTTGCTGCAGCCTCTTGAAGTGAGATTGTCAATGGCCAGAGAAAGAGATTTATTTTTATGAAGCTGTATTTTTTATTTCGTATGTATTACCTGTTTATATTTGGATTCTTTAGTTTTGATATACATTGTACTTTTCAGTTAGATTGAAAGCACCTCATATTGTTAGTGTTCTACTTTTTCGAGGAAGAAAATACTTTAAGTACAGTGTATCTACTAATTGTCTGAAGTTTTTTTTTAGTTTTTTTGCACTACAAAGAGTTTATATCTTTGTTATTTATTTTTGGTATAGTGCTTAACAAGCATAATTTAATTTTGCCCAGTTGTGGCCGGTTGAGGGGGAATAAATATCGAAAGTTCCAAAGCATCTATTGTGTTATTTGTATCGATCCACTATATAAACATATTATCTACATACATGGCATTTGATTGGAGGCTAGTCTCACTTTGTCCCACAGCAACATTAAAATAGTTTAGATTTGTGCACATTGTTTCTGTTAATAATGTATTGTATTAAGTGTCCATTTCATTATAATATTCATATTTATCATAAATAATTGAACATGCATATGTATTTTAAGTTAAGTAACTTGAAAGTAACGCAATAGTTACTTTCTAAAGTAACTAGTTACTTTTATAATTTTTAACTGAGTAACTAATTTAGTTACTTTTTGGAAGAAGTAACTAGTAACTGTAACTAATTACTTTTTTAAAGTAACTTGCCCAACACTGAAAAAGCTCTTTCTAAGGTAAAAAACGAGTCCTCTATTCAGATGATTATATACTAATTAACATAGTCATAGACATAACATAGTTTTATATGCATATTATATTCCATTTCTGCCAATAGATCCTAAATGTTACACACTGGACCTTTAAAGTTCCCATGGAACAGAAAGCAGAGTGCTTGTTGCTTCCTCATATTTCTGTTTCCTGTAAAACACACAGCTAGGGAGGGACTTGTTGTTGATATTGAGTGTACGTTAAGCTCCCACTGCTATCCAGGTAGCGCTATGAGCTAGCATCAGCATCTACCTTCCAGTGAACACAACCAGACCTGGGACCGAACACAATACATACCAAGGTGTTTTTTTGGCATTCCAGGGTTGAGTCAGTTAGGTTAGCTTCATGGCCTTTTGAGCTAACAGCTGTTAGCGGTTTGCTACACCGATCCCGGTCTGGTTCGGCTGCTGTGCCTGGTTCTGTCTCCCGCTAACGGCAGATACAGTTAGCAGGAGTTACTTAGTGGGCTACTTTCGCAAGTAGTTAAAGCTATCCATCCATCAGACACAGAGAGTTTAAGCTGAGCTGAAACCAGAAAATATTTTCTTCATAAAATATGATCCAGTTTACCAAAATCTGTGAATAAAGTTATGAAGCTGTGCTTTTGTACAGCAATGATCAGTGAGGCCCGGCCACAGATGTACGTTATACATCAGCCCTCAGAGAAACACTCCAGTGGCGTCATAAGCAAGTTTATTGGGCTCAAAATTAGTGTACGTCCCTGAGTATAGGACGAGTCATCAATAACTTTTTAGCATGTTCCAGGAAATGACAAACTCTAAAATAGAATACCTAAAAAATGCATGCATATACATTTACTCGTGATTAAAACGCTTCAATGTCACTTTATGACCTCATGGGGACTTTAAATGGTTCATTCTATCTTCATAGTGCATAAAACTCTTATGGTACATGCTGTTGACAAAAACAATACCAGCAACTTATCATGATAATTTTACTGTTGGAGAAACAGAACTTAAACTACCATCTAACAATTTACAGTACAACATTTTTGTCAGTGTTGTGCACTTACCTGCAAATGATTGCACAATATTTAGTTTGGTTAATGTTATTTCTTTCACAGATTTTCAGCATAATTTTAGTACTTGTCTGTTGCATTTGATTGAATCTTTTTAGGAAGATGGGACAGCTCTTTTTTTTCTTTTTTTGTGTACCCCTAGTCCCAACAGTGTTTCCTCTGTTTCATCATGTTATTATACCTACACAGCAAGATACGTCATTTGTCGGTACCTTGCGGAATGACCCATATCATCCAACAGCTCATGGTTAAGGCAAGCAAAAGATGGTAGTGAAGGTTCAATTCAAGACAACCACCACCTTAAAAAAGAGACAAGCTTCAAAATTGGTAAAACATACATTTTATATCTTTACTAGTTTTCTTTACTAGTATTTGTAACTTAACATTCAGTTTAACTTAAGACAGGATAACCTTAAAATCAGTGGATGCAAACAAAGCATGCTTTGCTTCACACCTTTTTGTAATTGGGCCAAATTGTCTGAGTTTGCTGTTAGATAACAAAGACTTTTCTTATTAAGACTACATTAAAGTGCCCCTCACTATGAAGTTTATGAGTGAAGAAACCCTAAAGGTTCTAATAAAAATAGTTGTTAGACAAATGTTAAAATAAAAATAACCATATAAACCCATATTTAAAGATTTCAAATATGTGTAGCTCAGTTTGATGAAGAAATAAGACATGTCTTGTTAACAGCAGTTTCTTTGAACTCTGTGCAGCCTCACTTTGAAGGCGGTTGCCAAATATAATTCATTAACAACCAGTATAATCATTTGTCCAACATCTTGTACCTATTACACCCTACACGTGTTGCATGTGTTTCTAGATACAAATACAGACATTAGCACTGAACTGAATACAAAGTATTTTGAAATGAAAAAAGCTGAAACAACGTCAGATGGATGTGTATCTGCTTCAGACGATGGCAAATTGTGAGTATACATAAGATCTCATTCCCCTTTTTATCAGTATGCAATTGGATCTCATTGCAGTAGTGTTTTTCAAACCACTAAAAACCTTGTCTGGCTTATATATATATGTGATTCATTTGCTCAATTAAATAAAAAAAAATTGAACTTAGTTACAAGGTTAAAGCTGTCATTATGTCAAAACTAATATTACTGCCAGGATGTTTGCTGTTATCACATTTTCATTCAAGTTAATTTCTCAATTTGCTTTACTGGTATGAACATGTTAAATAGCGTAAAATGTTGCAAAAGCAAGTTGAACAATTGAGCATTAAAGTATTAAGTGACTTTAAGACTTTGCCGTTTAAGACATATTCCTCAAATCTTTCAGGTTTATTATGATTAAATAAAAAATAAACGATGTAGTTATAAACTTCAACTGTATTTGTTCATTTTCAGTCAACTATCTGCTACTGTAGTTCTGTTATACTATAAAGTATATAATATAGTAGTAAATAAAGTTACAAAACTCTATACTCTAAAGTAACAAAAACACAACAATTCCTATATTCAGGTGATTATACACTAATGAAAACATACCTATGATTAATGTATTCCATTTCCACCAATAGATCCTCCTACATGTTACACACTGGACCTTTAACCAGAGCAATTTATGAAACCAACATTGAGCCAAGTTTTCAGTTCCACAGCTGTCAGCTGTTCAGACTGGTGCACAGTCAGTGTAGGCCTAAGTATGTCTTATTAAAGAGCACCATCGCTGGCATTCGTTTTGTACAAACAGTGTCTGCAAGATTTCACAAGCGTTTTTGGGGATTGTCGCGGTCTAAACAGCCTGATTTCACAGAAGCTTTTCTATAAAATTGCGATGAATGTTGCGGTGTTTTAGGGATTTCTTTTTTTAATAAAATTGCAGGAGAAAGTGGAAAAAAAATAGTTTTCTATAATTCATAAAAAATCGTAAGCAACTTGTTCTAGTGAGAATAAAATTGTTTGGGGTGAGTTTGGTAACGTATGGCTCAATGTTTCGCACTGGAAACAACAATGGCTTTGTGAAAAAGTTTGTGCAGAATTCACAGGGATTGGCTGAATTTGCCTTAATTGTTACAATCACAACATCGCAACTTCCTGGAGGGACTGTACAAGGCCCTGGAGTGGCCATAGAGACCAGAAGTTTTTAATCCTGTGTGTAGGATTTTTAAAAGTTCTGTCTGACTCCATCAGAAAAAAGCTAAAAGCATGTTCCCCGAAGATAAACCACTATAAACATATATAGGAATGTTGACAGGACACCTTCAGGTTTGTGATTTATTACTCTTTGTATTGTGAATCTTCATACAATGATGGTTTAGTGGTAAATTTTAAATAAAATTTTCCTTTCATCTTTTGGTTCTCACAGACTGTATCTGGCAACCTGCCCTACAAAGTAAGCTTTAGAGGTGTGATTGAGCCTTGGAGATATCCAGGCTAGCTTTTCCTCCTGCTTCCAGTCTTTATGCTAAGCTAAGCCAAACATAACCCCTGTGCTGTATTTGTTAAATTCAAAGGGGAAAATCCTGCGGTTAACTTCTCCAGTTTAACACAAAACTGGTCAGTGTCTTTAGTTTAGCAAAGAACTGGACACATTTGATGAAAAGTTAAGTGATCATTTAAGTTATTAGAATCATCATGTATGAACAAGAGTTTTAACCTCAGTAGATAATAATAGTTGTTTATATTTTCATGTCTGGAACAAAGTGGTGGATGTACTTAATGACCTACATTGCCACCCATAGAGCCGCCATGGTGCTGCTGCTGCTGCTGCTGCTGCTGCTTCTGTGCAAATCCCCTCCTTTTTACTGTGAGACCATGTGGCCTCTTTAACAGTCTCCGCCTTAAGTTGCTCATTCAGAAACAGACATCATCCCCGCCCCCCTCTGTCCCTCTTGCTCTTTCTCTCTCCCTCATTGTCAAACAAACACAGCTCTCTCAAACGTCCACTCATGGGCTCACTCGTGGTCAGAGCTGAGAAGAACACTTGTCCTGGGGAGACTAGGGGATCTAGACTATTAAAAGGCACCAGATGAATCACACCTAGGGCTAAATGGAAGCATAACACAGAACCACAGACTACTGACGAGGAGCAATCTTTCTCAGGTACCTTTCCCCTTTTTTCTGTATTTGTGTTTGTCCTTTGTATGAATTGTAAGTGTAAATTCTGGGTTTAATTTCTTGAACAGGAAACCAGTGGTACCCTTAAAGTGACAGCTGGTCTTTTGTAGTTCCACTTACGCTTGGCGCTCGTAGCTGTATTATGTAGGCCAAAGGTTACTGGCTACGCTGCAGTGACAGCAGCTATTTCCCTTGTTTAGTGTAACACCTCAGGCTGCTCTGTGATCACTGCTGCTAAAAGCTCACATTGTTTAAAACAAATACATTTGTCTAGGACAAATATTTGAACAAATTACATAATATATGAGTCTTTAAAAAGTCACTTTGACATAATTAGGCTGATATTAAAATAAAATCAATTTATTCCATGATTGTTTTTATAAAATACAAGCTGCATACATAAATTCTTGTTTTCCTTTTTCAGCATTTTAAATCCTAAAAGCGAAACAGCTATTCATGTTAATAAACAGCAGAACATGGAGTTTATGACGATACTGTAATGTTTTTACCTACATGGTCAGGGACAGTCAGATAATCAAAACAGAGACAGAAAACTATTTACCACTCAGTCCACATTTGCCTGACGGTGGTAGGCAGAGATTAAAACGGAAACCAGTAACCAAAAGGTACTCCTTACACTGCCAAGTTTCTCAAGATTTGGTCACATGTAGAGTAAAAATATGATCTGAAATATTTGTAACAAACCATAATTTGTTTACAGCAGTTGTTCTTTGTTCCTGGGCTTGTTAAGTCTTCCACCAGGTTCATCAAGTCAAGTTAATTTTATTTATAAAGCCCAATATCACAAATGTGCCTCAAGGTGCATACATGATCAGCTGAGATGGAAATGATCTGATCTGGACCTTTTTCTTCTGACCACGTTTAGGAATTACACTTTTGTGCAACTCATTTGTAATTTCTGTTGTTTTGTTTTGTTTTTTTAGTTTTTTAAAAAGGTGAAACATAATACTGGGGTTTCTCTGGTACGCTACACATTAGACCTCTGGGTGTAGGGATGGCAGTGTTGGTTCATCCTCCACTTTAGTCCAGATGGAAAAATCACTGTAACTGTTAAATTTACTGTTAATATGCTTTTTTTGTCTCGTGCCAAAAGCAGACCAACATTTTAATTTGTCAGATACTTTAGCTCAACATTATTTTGTATTTACTGCAAATTAGCAAATGTTAGCATGCTAACACGCTAAACTAACATGGTAAACATTATATCTGCTTTGGGGTATGGTTCCGAGAGGCTTTTGTACGTCTGAACATGATCTACATGTGTACCGATTTTGCCACTGCGGGCTGTTCTTTAGAGGGGCGCTGTCGAGCCATCACATGTGTGTGACCCATAGAATACGCAAATTTCGCCACGACAGACATGTTTCATGAGAATCGGAACATACAAAAATGTGATTGATTTTGTTTAAGAATAATACTCTGAGGAGTTTTAATAGGTCTTCGCAGTGGTTCGCTGCTTAGGCCCTAAATATTAGACCATGCATTTCACTGACACAATTGTAACGATAGTGTGGGCAAAGATGCTTTCTGGGCCACATTGTGTTTGTTGTTGTTGTTCTGCAGTTGGACACTGGGCAAAAGGCAGATTTTGTTATTTTTAATAATTAGTTATGGTTGTGTTGTTGACATCACTTTATGCAGGAGACAGTTGCCAGAGAATTTAAAAAATATTTGGTCTGGTGGTTAAATTGGTGTCTCTTTCCACAGTAGAGTCCTTGAGGTGCTGAATCACTACCAGGTTTGAGGTTTCTGTTTTGTGTTTGATTTTGTAATCTGTCCTCTCTTCACCTTTAAGGATTCCTACAGTATTTTCAATCATTCGTCATTCTGTGGCTATTGTTTTGTCCATATCTGGGTTAAATGGTTAGTATAGAGATGGATTTTTTTAAGTGGGGTTGTATGAGGTACTTATCCATCCAGGAGTTGGTGGTCTACCTCTGCCTGGATTCACAGCAACTTACATTAGTTTGGATTCGAACTAACATCGAACTAACTAACAAGACACACAATACCACAAACAAACTAACCAAACGAGGCAGTGATGGACCAGCCAGATGGATATAACGGCTTCAGTTTCTCATTGGGAAGTACTGTCTGACAACAAGGTAAAGCTGTGAAAATATATAAGTATAGTGTATACTATTGTGTAAATAGGGACATGTTGTTGCACACGTCTGGCTTCATGAGGACAGAGGGCTTAATAGTAATTATATTTGCAAATTAAATCTGGTTACGTTATTTTGTTGTTTATTTGTTAACCTGGGTACAATCTGCTAATAATATAAGCACAATATAAGAAATTTTCCATAGAAATATAAATGAATAAGAGCCATTGTGAGTTCCTATGTTGAGCAGCTCTGTTTCTACTGTCTTCTAGGACAACAATGACCCCATTTGTAGGACATGAACATAAAAGATGATAAACATAACAGTATGCAAAAATCTGTGGTTCAGTTGAGTTTTAGAGCCAATATACTGTAATTTCCCTGGTTTGAACGTTGAACCAAGGAGAGCAATTTCCCTAGTGAAAACCTCCCTTGATTCATATATTCAACTACTGGAATCATTAAATAGCCAAATAATAGCCTACATTTAAACAGCAATAAAACACAAACACTCCAACAAATGTATTTTGTGTAACTGAAAAATGTCTTACTGCACTGTTTTTGCACTAACACCCTAATACTGATGTATGTCAACACTGTATTATAGTTCATTTGTCCCATTTTTAACATTTGTGTTTGTATTTGCTTTTATTTTTATATGTTATTAAATCAAAATATTTTAACTGTTAGCTGTTCAAATCCGAAAAACGTGAAGTGGCACGAGCTCTACGCTGCGTGTGCTTACACAGTGTGTTGCCAACTAGGTGACTTTCTCACTAGATTTAGCAACTTTATTTCTAAGAAGTGACTATAAGTGACAAATTTAGCGACTTATTCAGACAATTAGAGAACAGGTGCAAAATATATTCAGATATATTATATCTTAAATCATTCCCATGCTGCTCAGAGTAATATAGTCTTTGGCCAATAGCCGCTGGGGCTCTACCTCTCCTCTTGTGCTGTGCGCAGACTGTCAGTAGGCGTGGCCTATGGGGCGCATTTGACCTTCTTTCTCAGTCTTTCTCTCTGGATCTCTGGATTAGGGTGTTCCTTTAGCTTATATGTAAATAGCTTATTTGTGCTTGTAAATATTTAATTAGCTTGTTTGGTCTTCTCCCTTTGTAGACTTTTCCTTTTACTTTTTTTTACTTCAAATATACTATGTCACTGTAGTGGGTTTGTGATTATTTGGCTAAACAATAATAATGTATGTAAATTTCCATCACCATATACCAGAAACAGAGTTGCAGTTTGCAGTGATACATTTAATCATCAAACAGTTTGAAATAAACAATAAACAGTCAATTCAACCAATGACTAAAAGAATTATGAACACTGATTGTGGTAAAACACCTAGGGTGATTTAAATTTTTTATTTAGACACAAGCAGCAGTGCCCTTTAGGATGCTCCTATGCTGGATAAAACATGATGAAGTGCCCTCTATTGTGCCCTTTAGGGTGCTAACCCCAACTCTGACTAAGCTGTTTGACAATAATCATTCTGTGCGTTGCTGCCCCACCACAATTATTTGTTTATTCAAAGTTTTCCTTGGGTCCCCAGAAATGCAGCCAGCAAGTGTAAAGTCAGTCGGATGAACAGTTAGAAAAGAAAACACATACACACACACACACACACACACACACACACACACACACACAGACACAGAGATTTCCCACAGGACATTTTGCCTGCAGATATTTTCATCTGCCAGACGACTACATGTGATAGTGGCAAAAGCCGGCATAGGCAGGCTACCGAAAACTCTAGTTAGGTTGGAATTCTACTGGAATCTCTTTGAGAAAGACACTGAATCCCTTCAACCTCTACTGATGCTGGTCTCATGTTTCACTTCAGTCTGGCAGTGGTTTGTCCGAAAGATCATTTTCAGACACAGAAACGTCACACAATTAAGTCTGGCGTATGATCGAAACAAATTATTATGTACACTGTCATACAACCACGTGAGAAGGCAACAGTGTTTAAAGTTGGTCCAAATGGACACACTGTAAAAAGTGGGCTGAAAACCTTGCAATCATAGAGAGGACCAAGACTTGATTGTTATGGGGCACACTTTGAAACAATCTTAAAGTGAAACAATCTTATTAATAATAGTAATGCACTCCTTTATAAAAAAGTGACAAGTAACCATGGTGGTGTATGGTGGCGTGTGGTGAGGGGGTTACTGATGTTGTTCAACAGCACATAAGAATATTGGTTGACTTTCAAACCAAGCCTTGTTCCAGAAGATAATTTGTGTCACTCTGTAGCAGCCTTCCCTTTGTACCAGGAAATACTTTGTGGTCACATAGAATTGATATGATAATGCAAATATTGTGACTTGCACAAGTAACTGCCATAACCGTTTAAAAACATTAGATTACAATGGCAGACAGCTTGTGCACAACAACTTACATTTGGGTAGCAAATATGGGCCTCATGTTCTTGCTCAAGGACAATGACATGTGACCACCTGAGATACAGCTTTAATAAAATATGCCCTAATCTCTGTGCCCTAAAACAGGTGCGGCATAATGTGTGGTTAGAAACACATTTAGACTTGTAACTGTAATGTCTAGTATATGACACCTCTATTATCCTAACTGTGTGTTTGCTGCTCACAAACACAACAAATAATGCCTCACTTTTACTGTCTGCAGTTTTTAGCTAGCTAACTGTGGAGTCTTCGCTCTGTATCGCTAAAAGGTGAAAATTGATTGACAGATGATATTATTGGTTGAAATTGGTTAGTTCATGCTTATGTTAGCGTGCATCACATTTTGTATTACAGGAAGAATGATTGGATTTCTACTTGAAAATACAAAGAAACTGAGTTTTTGTCAATTTTTTGCTGTGCATTGTTAAGTATGGTTAAATTTTGACTGAGGATGCAATCTTAAAATGCCATTTTTCATTTCACCTGGACTTTTTTAATTGAATTATGTTTCGATAAGACTGTGTGTATTGTCTTTTCACAGCAGTTTGTCAATCTACCGTTTTCAACTCTTCTGTTTGAGCTGTTCCATTATAGTAGGCTCTATGCATTAATTGGTGCAGCTTGTATATCAAAGATGGATATATGGCTTACTTTCTATACAAAGTAGTTGCAAATTATGCAATAAAAACCTTAAGATGTTTTTTTAATCCATACACCCCCAAAAAGAAAAACAAAAAATTGCAATACAGAAAGCCAAACAGGGCAAATCAAAAAAGTACCAGGTACTATCCATAACTTTTGGCAATGGAAAACCTAAAAAGAATGAGCCAAGTAAAGCCGAGCCGTACCATGCAGCAGAAACACAGCAGTGGTGGACTGAGTGCATACATGTTTAATTAGGCCAACAGTTGGTTCATAACAGTTAGCCTTCGGAGCATATTATGGCCAAAACATACACAGTGATAGATAGGAGTCTACAGACATAACCAGTAAAAACATTGCTTTTCTGCAAGTTAATGTTTGTCTGGTTTTGATAAATGACTCTAACTGACTTTTTAGTCATTTATTACACATATAGTAACGAGCATAGTTGTCGTCAACTCCAGTAATATAATTTGCGTCACCAGGGTTCACTCTCTCTGCTGCAACATCTGCTAAGATGAGGAGCTGTCTGCAGTGTGTGTTTGTGGTGGAGGTGCTAAGTCCTGCCCTCATGCTCTGACACACAGAGCAGAGAAAGACAGTAGAACTGTATTTTCAGATTTCTTCAAGTAACAATGAATGAACCAACCTTTCATATACACCAATCAGCCATAACATTGGTCAGTCTGTAGTGACACTAACACTGATTATGTTGTTATCAGGGCGCCTGTCAGTGGGTGGGATATATTTGACAGCAAGTGAACATTTTGTCCTCAAATTGATGTGTTAGAAGCAGGAAAACTGGGCAGCGTGAGGATATGAGCAATTTTGACTACTATCTATGACTGCTTAGGCAACAGTCATCATGGAAATATTTTTCGTATTTTTTCTATGGTTTTTATGGTTCTACTATGCCCAGAGCTTCCAAACCTCAACCACAACACCCAGCAATGCAATACTCTCTGGAGTTCTTAATGCAGTGGGACAACCTGCACTGGGTGGACATGCATATGGATCCACTTTTCATTCAAGATTTAAACACTGATATCGCAAGGCATAAGGGACAGGATTGGGACAGAAAGTACACCACTGTAAGGCAAGGAAACAAGCATTACTACTCCCCTCGATCATCCTTGCAAATGTTCAGTCACTCAGAAAAAAGACTGACGAGCTGCTGGCAAACACAATCCATCTACACGAATACAGAGACGCCTGCGTCATGGCTTTCAGTAAGACATGGCTCACCTCTTCAGACACAGACTGTCAGACTGGACAGGAACACGGAAGATACGGGGAAATCCCAAGGAGGCTGTAGGAATAAGCTAGAGGAGAATCTAAGCAGCAACAATCTGAAGGTAGCATGGGGAATGTGGAAAATGACAGGCCAACTAAAAACTGTAAACCAGCCGGTTTGTATTCCAGGCTATGGAGGAAACAAAGACAAAGCCTACTAAGTCAATCTTGATATTTTACGCTGGTGCTGTAAAGACAGTATTTGAAAAAAATAAGCCCAGGGCCAGATGGTATCACAGGAAGAACAGCTCTGTGATGTGTTCTGTTATATATTCAGGATGTCTCTTGGACTGCATAGGCTTCTAAAGTTATGGAAGAGTCCATTGTTGTCCTGGTGGAAGAGCAGAACCCCTAAAGAGCTAAATTACTTCAGACCAGAGGCACTGGTCACTGGTCATAAAGTCATTTGAAAGGCTGGTCAAAACAGAACTGCTGGGAAGTGTGGGGGAGGCCCTGGACCCCCTTCAGTTTGCATTTAGGGATGGAAGTAGAGGATGCATTGATCACTTTATTCCACTTTGTGCACAAACACCTAGCAGTTTCCTGTCACACATGCCAGACTTATTTTTAGATTTTTCATCTGCATTTAATACTATTCAGCCAGATGTGTTAGCTAAGAAACTGCTTTGGGATTTTAATCTTGATGTAAATTTAGTGGGTTGGATGTGAGACTTTTTATCATGCAGGTCTCCGAGGGTGAGAATAAATGGCTTTCTGTCAGAACAGCGCTCCTCTTCCTCTGGCTCTCCTCAGGGCAGTGTCTTGTCCCCCTTGCTTTACATTCTCTACACCAACGACTGCAGAAGCCAGCACGGGGACAGGCACATCCTGAAATATGCTGATGACACAGTTATCTTCTCCATAAAGATGAATCTGAGCACGGGCCAGTGGTAGATGACTTTGTTAAATGGTGTGATGAGACCAAATATATGGTCATTGATTTCAGAACGAAATCAACCAGGGTGCCCATGTGGTCATAATGTTATGGCTGATCGGTGTATTTGGGCTTTGAGTTATTTGGGACTGGTCTGTCACACCAGTGTGCCCAAATAGTTTTCTCTGATTTTCACCCACATATGACCCACAGTGTTGAGCCCTGAACAAGGTTTGAGGTCATTTAGAAACAGTATCACCATTACAGAGTTTGTCCAGCAGAGGGTACTGTAAAAAGTCCTGCTCTGTATATATCTTGGTCACAATTAAAAATCTAAGGATTTCGACTGTTTGAGTAGGTTATTAAAACAATTACTATCATCAATATACTTTATAAACATTTTTTGGCTTCCAAATATCAATATTAATATCAGCCTCAAAAAACCTTCAGAAATGCTTTGCACAAGCTTTGAACACTATCAGAATTTTCTTGTACTTATTGTTAAATGCCACACATAATTCACACATTTTGCAGACTTCTGGTGTTGATAACACACCCTCTGCTGGTGTTCATAATTCTCCCCTCAATGTATAAATAAAATTACCACAAAAACACTTTAGGAAAGCTGTTTTGAGTGGCTCCGGATTTAAAGCTTTTTAGCAGTAATATAGTAGCACACACATATTTTCCAGGCTATTGCTTCACTCCCACATTAAATCCAGCAATATCCAGCAGCAGCACAAAAGCAACATTGATGGAAGAATTATTCTCATGCCAAGCAGCACTGACCCTCTGTTGACCCAAAACAGCAAGACTGCTGGCATTGTGCAGATTTTGAACATTAATATACAGTGATTGAATCATGTCAGTATTCCTGCTATGATTAGTGATTATGTTGTTTAAAATATACAGAGAATTTTCTTCAGTCACCATTTGGTACTGCAAAATACAATCCACAAACAACATGCATAATTATAATTAATACACAAACATTGTTTTAAAAATGTAGTCAACCATGCTGCGAACAATGTCATTCTGGCACTGACCACCACTGATTGGATCAGAAATATTTAATCTAAACCCTTTTTTTGTCACAGTGTGATGGATAAGCCTTTTGGTCCAGAGGTCAAGTTCAGGCTGGACATGGGCACAGCACATCCTGCACCCAGCATCCCGGCGAGAGGACAGTGGTCAAGTAAAGTTGAGTTCCTCTTGGCTGTCGCAGGACAAATCATAGGCCTAGGAAATGTCTGGAGGTTCCCCTATTTGTGCTACAAAAATGGAGGAGGTGAGTTTCATTATATTCAAAGAAGTTTGGGGAAAACACTGGAAAAAGCAGCTACTGTCTTCAAAAGTACCCAACAAACCAAAAGCAAACAGAAGTGTTAAAAAAGAACAAAAGGAAATGAAGGAAACATATCTACCACTGTGATAACACACATACGTTGCATTTAGAAAAAAACACTGCAAGTTAACTAATTAACGTTTACAACACATGGCAGGTGTCATATGGAAAAACACCATCTTAATGTCATTCTTATGGATTACTCAAAGCGTTGAAACTACAAACAATTTATGTGGTGTAATTTTCTATTTTCCTAAGGGGTGTTTTTCATCCCTTATGTGCTCTTCCTCTTCACCTGCGGCATCCCCCTGTTTCTCCTGGAGACGTCTCTCGGCCAGTACACCAAACAGGGAAGCATAACCTGCTGGAGGAAAGTTTGTCCCCTTTTTGAAGGTAAAGATCTAGAATTACTATCAGAGTATTCATGTGAAATCAAATCAAATATGTGTATTTACACCTGATAATTAACAAAATAGTAGCCCTGCCATCATAAATCACAGGATTAAAACCAGCTGTTGATCTTAAATTGATTGATTGGCTCTTTTGTTTTTCTTTTTTTTTACCAAAGTATGAATAAGTTTATCAATGATCATAACATTTCTGGATTGCCCTAACTTTCTTGTCTTTGAAGAACTTTGTCAACCCATATCTTTCTGATTTTCTTTGTTTTTCTTTGCAACACACAGCAGAAACAGGTCATCAAACTTTATCCATTTTCCTATCATTCTGTCATTCATCAGTGTGGATGTTCACATCGTTACAGTTAGTTATTGTTCATAGACAAACCAGTGAAGAGTCATTGCTGTAGTTCAACCGACTGGAGATAATGACATGTAAAGGTTTCTCCAGATTATGCTTCTTTTATTTTATTTTAATGTGTCTGTTGCTCAGATACTTTAGCAAATACATTAAAAAGATTTGTTCTCCAAGTTTCACACCATCTTTTCTGTGAAACTCAACAAACGGTGTCAGGTTTTGTGAATTAATTGTTCACCCATAATAAACAGGTATTTCATCTTTGACATTGCTCCCTTTGATTAAATATTGCCTACTGTGAGCTGTTACATGTGGCCGAATGATTTACAAGAATTTCTTTCTCATGTACACATACAGTCAGATACACACAATCTTAGTAAATCAACAACAGTAGAAAATGATTCCTTCACCTAGCAGCCTATCTGTGTATTGCAAAAGCATTCAGATCATACTATGATGGCCTTTAAATTACATTATTAAAATAAGTAATTAATGAGTGAATGCTGTTTAAATTTGTGTATAAAGTCTAGAAGAAACTGCATTCCTTGTTTGCCAAACAAAATACTGTATTATTAGCTAAGTAGAGCAACTGACATATTTTCCTTTTCATACATTTTTTACATTTTTTGTAGTATTTTATATTATCTTTATTATTTCTTATTGTTTAATACATTTTGTAAGGATCTGCTTTTTTTTGGGACATTTTTGGCACAGAAAGTACTCAATAACAAGGCTTTACAGTAATCCAGTTTGTTCATTTAAATTAAATGATAAATTAGAGATTGCTTACTTTGTTCCAAAGTGTTGAGCTTGTGATTTAAAGACTTTTTGTTTTTTTTGTTTTTTTCAGGGATGGGTTATGGCAGTCAGGTGGTTGTTTTATACTCCAGTATCTATTACATCATCATATTGGCCTGGGCTTTCCTGTATCTCTTCTTCTCTTTCAACTCTGAACTACCTTGGGCGAGTTGCAGAAACAGCTGGAACACAGGTAGGTGCCAGTATGTGAACTGACTGAACAAACATACATATTGCTGTGCATCTTTGTCTCTGTCCGTCTTTCACTCTTTACCCCACCATCCCCTCCCCCCTCTACCCAACTGTCTCCCGGCCACCCACAGGAAGTTTCTCCTTGCTGCTCTCACCAAGAGCTTACTCATGACTCTGTAAATACATTTGGTACGGTTTAGACCTGCTCTATTTGAAAAGTGCCCTAAGGTAACCTTTGTTATGAGTTGGCACTATACAAATAAAATTGAATTGAAATTTAATTTAATTGAAACAAATAAATATTATAAATCTTTAGTGCCAAAATGACAAATGATGGCGTTTGCACAATGTTAAGGGAAATCATGATGCTACTGACAAAATAATAATATAATAATACTGGCAAAAACTCTGGCTTTAGACTATGCTATATGGAAATGTCCCCCATTCAATTTTTAGAGAATGTATGAAACATGAAAATGTTGCTAAAGGGTTGAGGGGTTTGTACAAAGGAATAACGAGTGTTTATGTCCTTGAATACCTTGTTTAAAACGTCCTGTGTTCCTTTACAACAGAGAATTGTGTGGAGTTTGATCGAAGGAGTATTTATTTGAATTTGACTGTTGAAAATGCAACATCCCCAGTGAGAGAGTTTTGGGAGTAAGTATGAAATCAAAAAAATCTAATATGACAATAAGCTCTGAAAGTGACATTTGTTAATTATAACTGAAAATGTGGTTTGCAGGAGAAGAGTTTTGAATGTCACAGGAAGTGTCCATGATTTAGGCAGCATACGATGGGAGTTGGCTCTGTGTCTTCTGTTGTCCTGGATCATCTGTTACTTCTGTGTCTGGAAAGGAGTAAAGTCGACCGGAAAGGTACGACAAGGACTTTTTTATGTTGTATGCAAACTACCAAGTAACTCTGAAACTGGTAAAGGGCAGCAGCGCATTAGGTATGGGTTAACAATCCTTTTGGCAGATGCAATGCCTCTGTCACTTCAAGTTAAATACAGATTTTAGAATATGGTGTGTATGGTCTGAAAGAGCAGTGTCGGGCCACAGGACTTTAGCTAATTGTTACACTACCTCAAACATAATATTGAAACTCTCTCTGCCATCCCTAGAGGCGTGGCTCAAGGGATGGTAAAGTCACTCTGACAGCCAATCCACTACTTTGGTCCGGACTGAAAAATCTGTTTTCACACTTTCAGGTTCCCCTGAAGATAAACTGCACTAACTTTGGTGATCCTTCAAATTGTCATTTTGTCCAATACTTGACGAAATAAGATCTGACTCGGCTATGCTTTGTGTGTTGTGCTAATTAGCAACTTACAACTAAGAAGGTGAAAATGGTGAACTTAAATTAAGCTTTGTTGAATATCATTTCTGGAGCTGGGTAGGACTGTCAACACAGCTATCGATGTCCACAGTTTTGATACAAATGAAACCCCAACATGACTCTTCCACAGGTAGTTTACTTTACTGCCACATTTCCATATGTGATGCTGGCGGTGTTGCTTGTTCGTGGACTCACGTTGCCTGGGGCCTTGGTTGGGATCAAGTTCTACCTCTACCCAGATCCATCCCGCCTGGCTGACCCACAGGTATGCATAGATTTTACTACATCTCTGTCATAATGATACGTGGCTCGACTGAACCTGCTGCCTAATCCCTGATGTGCACACGCAATGTGACACATTGTAAATACAAAAAGCTACTTTTGTAGAAAGTTAAGGGGAAATCAAAGCTCAGGAGATTGAAAAGATCAGTTACTTATACAAGATTTTCACTGTATTTGCAGGCTTTTGCTGATATATAAATCAATAGATATAAAATATTATGATTCATGAGTTTTGAAGAGATTCACTGCAGTTACACAGTAAAATCCTTTCATTTGTAATTTATTGAAGATGAAAACATATCCTTTATTTGTCTTTCAGGTGTGGATGGATGCTGGCACACAGATATTTTATTCCTATGCTATTTGCATCGGATGTCTAACTGCACTTGGCAGTTATAATAAGTACAACAATAACTGCTACAAGTAAGTTTGATATAATGTCTATTCAGTGGTTCAGTTTGAGTACTGTACATATAAAACACTCACAAAAAGAAAACAGCTTCAGTAGGCACTAGATTTAAAAAGCATAAAAATGCGAGACAAAAAAAAACAAGAATTGAAAAAAAAGACAAATAACATTTTTATTAAATGTGATACAACTAAATGTTAAAATACACCACAGAGCCTTTAGTCAGAATTGAGTTGCTTCCAAGCGTCACCGCTGAAGATACACAAGACCTTTTGAGATGTTCGCAAACATCTGAGCCTTGAGAATATTTCTAGTGATTTAGGAGTCATACAATTTAATTTGATACAAAACAATGGAGTATGAAATGTATTTTTGTCTTTTTGTTTTTAGGGACTGTGTGTACTTGTGCCTTCTGAACAGTGGGACCAGTTTTGTAGCTGGCTTTGCCATCTTCTCTGTACTTGGATTCATGGCATATGAGCAGAACACAGACATATCAAAAGTGGCAGAGTCAGGTGAGAAAAAAAGAACAAATCATGGAATTAATGAACCATTAAATTACTGAACTTAGTGTAGTTTTAATATAACGTTTTACTCAACAGAAACAAAATGTCGAGATGTCCATTATTTCTTATCTCATTCTCACTGCAGGTCCTGGCTTGGCGTTCATTGCCTACCCTCGAGCAGTCGCCATGATGCCTTTCCCTCAGCTCTGGGCGATATTCTTTTTCATTATGATCATCCTGCTGGGACTGGACAGTGAGGTTAGCTACAGATAGAGTAATCATGAGTTGTGTTTTCTGCCATGTTTGATGCATATATTGTTTATGAACTTGCAGGAGGTTTGGTTTGAGGTCTGTGGGTGTCTCACAGTTACAAAACAAATCATTTTATTAGCTCTGACAGGAAAGTTTGTGGTGAATTTCAAGAGTTTTGAACTTCTGCGCTTACTAATACAACGAAAATCTGGCTCATATATCCAATGAGTTTTTGTTACTTTGTGTATTTGATGCACATTCAGTCATCATTATCGAAAAGAAATATTTATTTAGAGGATTTTGAAAACTAAATTATTATGAAATGCCAAGTGTGTATGTATGTGTGCAGCATGTCTAGAGTTATTGTGTAACTGTGAGGTCTGTGTTTCAGTTTGTAGGTCTGGAAGCTCTCGTAACAGCAATTTCTGACCTAAATCCTTCCTTCTTCCACGTTGGCCATCGACGTAAACTTCTTCTGCTTGCTATCAGTGTCGTTAGTTTCTTCATTGGCCTTGTAATGGTTACAGAAGTAAGATCAAATTGAAATGCCACTTATTTTACAATAACCGTTTTTTTTTTATTATTATAAAAGACACTAACACAACCACTAACTGAGGTCACGTTTCACACACAGGGTGGACTGTACATATTCCAGGTGTTTGACTACTATGCCTGCAGTGGGATGACTCTACTTCTCTTTGCCACACTCCAGTCTTTGTGTATTGGGTGGGTTTACGGTGAGTTATTAAACAAGAGGAACATCCTTCTGTTTCTTCCCTGTTATTTTAAATTCCCTCACCACAGCGTTTCCATCTACTTACAGGTGCAGACCGGTTTTATGAAAACATAGAGGAAATGATTGGATACAAGCCTTTTCCCCTGATTAAGTATTGTTTGAAATATGTCACTCCAGTTATATGCATGGTGAGTTGCAGTTGCAGTTATGCCAATAAACTGCTGCAGGAATGAGCGCTAAAACCATTGGCTAAAACCCAGAACTGAGTTAGCATTTTAGCACCTCTGGTTCCCATGCCTTAAAGTCAATGGGTTTTTTGAATGGGTTTTTATTTAGATGCCTGAAAGGTCTGTGGTTAACACAAGCTTAAGAGATTTTCACGTTTTGTTCTACAACATAAAATATGTAATTTAACATATATTTAACATGTTCATTAGTAAAGATTAACTTGCTAAATAAAATGTAATGAAAAATCCCATTGACATCATCCCTGCAGGACGCTATTGACCGTTAGCTAAGCCCTATCCCCCTTAGTTACTGTTGCTATGCCTGTCTTGCACCGAACATGTGCAGTTTGCAATAATAAAGGTAATACCACCTGAAAATCTGATGATTTACGCTAACATTAGCTCAATGAGTAAGTTGATCCACCTGACTCGCATTGTAAAAGGAGTCTTAAATATGCACTTGATGGCCATGTAACTACACCATATTGTGCTAAAAGAGTCTAAAGCTGCATGATCCAGTTGGTGATTCTTATAAAAGACATGCAAATAAAGAAACATTAACAGTACGTTAACGTTAGCAGTACCGCTATGTTAATTGTTAACAAAGAGGAGTAAAAAAGACGGTAATCTTAGCTTCAACTCTGATAGCTTCCAGGATTTGCTTCCACACAGTAGGGAAATACTACACAGTGAATCAGCCAGTTGTGAACGGGGGTATTTTTTAACTTAACCAGTAATCGGTTGTCCCGTATTGAAAAAAATTAAATGCACTGTCCCTTACTGAATCAATATGCTAACACGATTTGTCCCGTATTTCTCTTCTGCAATTTGCAGAAGAGAACCTTGAATGAAAAGCTCGTCATCATTGCCCTGACTATGGATGTTGGCGAATACCTCCAAAAGAAAAAGGACGTCCAAACGCAGATCTAAATAGATGTCCTTCAGAATGAATACTCATCGTGAACGGTCCAATCTTAAGAAAGATTCTGCAAATTTGTGCATAAGAATTCACCGTAATGCAGAAAATTAAGTGTTTAACTCTCAAAATGTCATGGGGAGGCCCCCCGAGACCCACTGCTTGACTTGTGTCCAGCCATGGGGCCACTGGCATGGTGTCCCTTATTCCTCCACATTGAAGGTGGCAACCCTAATTGCAGCTTATATCAGAGCAAATAGGAACCCTGTTTAATCAATTCCCAACACTTTTAAATGTCTTTTATTTAGGACTAAACAAAACTAAACTAAAAAAAGCACTTCCTTTGCAAATACACAGTATGTAATATATCAATCTTACTACAGCCACATGTGGAGAAATCAAAAGCTTGGTCAGATCATCATCACAAGAAGGGGGATTTAGCTATCGGCCAATTGAGTTGTTTCCAGGCAATAATAATTCATCATCATTTTTGAAGGAGATTCTGTTTAATAAGTGCCCTTATCAATTTCATGTTTACCCTTTATTCTTACATTTAAATGGTTTCACTTTCACTCGTTTGTAGCTTGACGAGATTTGGGGTACATTTATGACATTTAGTATTTTGTTTTCCCAGGACTTTAACAGCTTTCTCTGTGACTACTTTCAGGGAACTTTTGTTTTCTCCTTGGTAAAATTCACTCCTCTGAAGTTCAACAGCACAACTGAGTATCCATGGTGGGGTTATGCTCTCGGATGGTGGTTCACTCTCTCCTCCACACTCATGGTTCCTCTCTGGATGGTGTACAATGTGAGCATCACTCCCGGTACACTGCGACAGGTGAGCTGTTCGTATATAAATGGGTCAACATGTCGCCATAAAGCTATGTATATATATATTTTTTTTTAAAACCTATTTTCTTCTTTGTTAGAGGATCGCCATTTTATGTACTCCAGCCAAAGACCTTTCTTCAAACAAATCAGAGAAGAAAGCTCTTGGACTGCTCGACATAACCTCATCTCCTGACACCATGGTGTCTTTATGACAACAGACAACTGAAGCAGCTTCAGATATGCTAAACAAGCGTGAAGCATAAGGAAAAACTTGCCCTCAATCCAGTAGTCTTAATCCAAGTTTCTTTTAAAGCAGTGGTTCACAACCTTTTTGATGTTTGACTTCTTAAAGCAAATCAATGTTTACTCGTAACCTCCAGTCAATGGTTGCACCAGTTGGATGCAACCAGTTCAATGAAAGGGTTTTTTGGGGCTTGAAATGCTTAAAAGCAAAGATTAAAGGTAAGTCTGAAAGAAATGTACTTTTGTGCAGCAGAAATATGTTTTTTGTCATCTTGTGACCCCCTCAGCTTTAACTTTCAACCCCTTGTGTTAGTCCTGACCTCCTGGAGGGGAATCACTGCACTAAAGGAATGGCTTGAAGTTTATGGTGATTTCACTTATTATTAAGCACTACAAAGTTTAAATGCAGACTCAGACAGAAAAGGAAATATTTTCAACAATATCGTTTCTGAGAGATATAAGCTCAAAGGTTCACTTACTGTACAGTGAGTACAGTACATCGTTTTCTCGTTGGTTTCTGAGCTTCCAGCCATGGTCTTCATTCAGCCACAGTTGTCATCACGTGAGCTCCAGCTGCATCACTGACAGCGAGCGTGTAGGGCTGAAACTAATCATTATTTTCATTATCAGTTTTTTTAATAGTTGTTTAGTTTTTAAACATTTATTTTAAAGTTTCCCAGAGAGTGAACAACAACAAAGACACTGAATTTAACATATTTTAAAACAGCAAATCCTCACCTTTGAGAATCTGGAGTTTTGTTTATGCAAAAGCATTTAATTGATTAGGATTCAATTGATTGACAATTGATTAATCTCTTAGTTCTTTCAGCTCTACTAACAAGTGGACCTTAAAATTATCTTCATGAGCCAAAGGTCATGAATGAACATCATGCTCAAACGCAAATTGACATGTGATATTTTAAATTGTTACTTATCTAAAGAAAAGGGTATTGAATATGAGAAGTAATGAGAATATGGGTGTTCTTAGTTCTTGGTGTTTAGTTTAGTTTTAACTAGGTTGTTTAACTATTCACAGTAAAACAAACATTTGCCAGATAAGCCATACGGATTGAACACTAAGTCACTTTTTGGTCACTGTGAGTGACGTGAATTAAATTCCATTTTGTCAATGTAAGCTGTAAATTATAACTATTAAAGCAGTGACGTGAAAAAATAATCCACCAATAAGTGCACCGTAGCCGACTGAGTCACCAGGCTGTCCCAACGCGGTTCCTGACCTGTACAGAGTACTTTTACTGTATAGACGTGCTAGTGCTGCTCGTACAGGGAGGAAACTAGTTTGGTGTTTGGTGTTAGATAAAAACAAAACGGTAGTGCCAAACAAGTTGTATTGTGATGACTGAAGCACCAAATGTAAAAGAGAAACAGCGTGCAAACCTGTTGGCTGTAACAGTCAGAAACAGAAAATATTTTATGAGTCAAATAGATTATATTTTTACTGTAGTCTCAGCTGTAAGCTTGTTTGATTATAGTTTTTATACACAATACTCATATATCAAGTTTTGCAGATTCATCATTTTGTATCCTTTTTTGTATCATATATCAATGAAATTTGTGGCAATAGTTCATTGTGTACCACGTAAATGCTGTAATATGACATTATTCACATTTAAGGATCAATCAAAATTTGTATTTTAAAAGAAAATATTTTCAAAGGATATGTGTACCAGAAACCATGTAAATTTGTGTTTAAATTGACAGTGTCACTTTTTATATTACTAGTTGTTAATAGTCAATAAATCATGAACAACCAGTTAGCTAATGTTTTATTAATGAAAATATTTGTGTGATAATACATTGATGATTTAAATTGTATTAAATAATTTGCAGTTCTTTAAATATTATCCATGAATTAGGCAATCAGGTATTAATGTGATTAAGTATTAATAGGCATCAGTAAACTGCTGGCTCATCATTATTGATTTATTTCCTTGTTTGTCATCTCATTATTTGGCCAAACTGACTCAGGTTGAATGGTGAGAGTTAGTACTTAACTTTTGATGAGTTAAATATATATAATTCAATAATGGATACAACATGGATCAGATTAAATTAAATAGTATTGTAGTAATTTGAGTGAAAATAAACTATTAATCTTTTATAGACATTCAGTAATGATCAGTTACCAGTTTGTTGTTGTTTGAGAGAAAAGTTGTTTCATGGTCATTTTTGGACCTTTGTTTTTGAAAACAATGGAAATCAATAATTTGTAAATACTATTGATAATAAAATAATACTAGTAATTTGGAAATAATTCATAAATTATTTGTTTTGAGAATGCTACCCAGTTCCAGATCCTTTTCTGGGCCAATGCTTTGTTTCCTTGAATGCATTAAGACAAGGAAGTTTTCACATTTCCAACAACGCTGCAATGCCACACATCAATATTTTAGTTCGGTCCCCAGCTCCTCCTGTCACATATCAAAGTATCCTTGAGCAAGATCCTGAACCCCAAATTGCTCCCGATGCTGTGCATCGGTGTGTAAATGTGTATGAATGTGTTAGTTTCTGTTCAATGGGCTTTGCCATCGCTGTGTGAATGTGTGTGAAAAGGGCGAATGTGGCATGTAGTGTAAAAGTGCTTTGAGTGGTCAGAAGACTGGAAAGGCACTATACAAGTACAGGTCCATTTACCATTAAGTGAGTTTCAGCTTTGTTTAACTGTCTGCGCCCTCAACTTTACTGTTTGGTTCACTCTCAGCAAAAAAGACCCACTGTACACTACCTGTTCAGCACCAAACGGTAGACAGACAGTTAGACTGGAGCATTTAGAAAGTCTTATATTTCCCTCAGGAGTTGGTAGAGGTCAAAAACTGAGCTAAAAGATAATGAATATTGGACTTTAATTCATCATATGGACACTATGAATGATGATGTTTTTCACCATGTAAATGTAATGTATAGCTGCCATAAGCTCAGAGCTGATATGCATCTACTGAATTACAGTGATGAAAGAATGGAAAGCTGAAATTCAATAAATCAGTTCAGAGAATCAACTGTGAGAAAAATAAAACCTCTCACATGTGCCATATAATAATAATAATATAATAATACTAATATGCTAATAACATGTTATGACACCCTAAAATATTGACCTGGAACTTGAAGAATGACATCTTTCTTTAAATGCAACTCTTGGATTTATTTAATGCTTTTAAAGTGCAAAAAGAAATAAAAAAATATATAAAGAAGACATGAACAAAGGTACCATATGTAGTTTTTTGTCTGAAAATATTTCTTCTGCATAAAAGCCGGTTTAACACATTGATCACATTTTGCTTTACAGGGTGAAAATCTTTTGAATACATGTAAACATTTTGTATGACGTAACACTTCTAATAAAACCAATCTCACGTCAGCCGTGCCGCAGTTTAACCAGCTGCATTTTATTCTGTTTATGTCAAAGTTGTCCAAATTATTCCTGTAATTTCCATTTTTAAGTTATCAATGATGAATGGAGCAAAAAAGGGGCTTGGACATCTTTCTGTAGTTGATTGTGGGGGAGAAACATTCTGTATTCTATTCTTAAACACAATTCATAATTGGTAGAAAAACTACTTCATGCTCATTTCCACTGTACAAAATGTTTGAATGTTTAGAGCCAGCAGTACTTGAAAACATTTAGCAATAAGCTGTTTAAAAACCTTGCTACAACAATATATAATAACACACACACACACACACACACACACACACACACACACACACACACACTGTTGATTTTTTTTACACAAAATATTTAAGACAGCTAAGGTTCTCATTCTGCAACAACTAATGTTTAGAAAACATCTCAAGATTATTGTCTGATTTTACAGTGTTGGCTTGACAGTCACCATTGTCCACTATCTACGAACATTCACACATAAAAAATAGATGCAGTGAAATAAAAAGACACCGGTTTCAGGGCCGAGGCAAAAAAGAACTACACAGATGTAAAATTGTGTAGTTGATCACATTACCAGAGTTGAACAAAATGATGTAATTTGTGAAAGATTGAAAGAGATCTGTGGTTCTGATGATTTTAGAGCTTAACTGCGGTTTGCGTGTGTCCCTCTCCCGCTTGCACTCACAGAGTCAATACTAATGCATCTGCTCTGACAAATACAAATGTAGACTGATTTTAGGATCAAATGCCTCCTTCTGTGGGAAGTTTGAATCGTGATTATGAGGATGTCTGTAGAAGTAGTGCTGCATGTATTTTGTATGTGTGCTGAAGATTGTGCCATGCTGTTTATGCAATTAGCTGATAGATTAACATACAATGTGTACGACATAAGAAGAAACTTTGAGTCATCCATCACTAAAATACACCAAAGCGGAAACATTTAATTTTGGATATATTATAACTTTTATATATGTTATTTGATGTTTTTTGCAGCTGCCACGAGATTCAATTGTAATCAGTCCATAACAATTATGTAATCATCTGATATTAATCCCACAGATGCCTATTATCAGTTGTTTTACTTGATCAACTACAATACCAGACTGGCTTCTCATAAAAAACTGCGTAATGTGTTCATGGATATGTGGATAAAACACAAGATTTCAACAAATTAATAATGACCTATCATGCATGTATTCATGAATAAATTATTTTAGTTCATGACCATAGTTTTATCTATCTTAGTAAAACAATACCTCATCTTTACCCAAAACAAGGTGCTAAATTTGTATCTCTGGAAATAATCTCTCTAAACCACTGTTTGGGTTCTCTTATATGCTTTAATGTACTCATTTGGCTTTATAGGTAGTAGCTTACTGTCACAAATTAATCTCTTTATTAGTTCAGCTGTTACTGGCAATAACCATACACTGAACAGTAAATATCCCAGAACGCCAGAATGACAGACTTATGTTTTGGTATAATTTTGTGTCTGTAGTTTGTGCTTTTTTTCTCTGCCTCTGGTGTCTGCTGATTGGAAACTTGAGGTTTCTATCAGTGATTTATGATAATATTTAACATTCATGTTTAGTGGAGAATAATTTTGTTTTAAAAACTTTGTTTTGTAGTATTTCTGTATTAAATTTAATGTTTTAAAACATTAAATGGCGGCTTCCCTACACTCCGATTATTGTTTATGACAAGGCAAAGTTATGGGTGATATAGTTTTCTTACTTTTGCTCAGAAAAGTAGAATTGATCATGTTTCTGTTTAAAATACAACTTAGCTAATGGGACTTGTTACACTTTTTGTCCAAAGTACATATTGCACATTACAAAAAATAGCAAAGTTTCAAGTCTGAATCCCAAACACCTCATGATACATGCATGCAGCTGCCCAAGAAAAGGCTTAATACCAAATACAAGTCAGAGTACAGTTTTGGAATTAGAAACACACTGTGGAGGCACATCTCAACTCTACACAGTAGCCTAAGGACAAATAAAAAGGAATTCCTCTATTTAAAGAAATAAATTATATTTTTTCAGAATAAAAGTCGGGGCTAGAAGTGTTCACCAATCTTAACTCACGGATTCTGCAGTCCTAACTCCACTGGAAGGTGCATCCTGGCAGTTGCACAGTCTGTGTGACAGGGGAAATTCTGTTTGGCTTGCAAACGTCCCTGCTAACACTCTGCTTTATATGCAGGAATGGTAACGTTGGATTTTGGGATAAAGAGGTTTGGATTAGAGGCCTTTATGCAACTTTGTTCCTGCTTCTGCTCCCAGGGCTTGGAAAGCAAAGAGAGGCATGTCTTTCTTTTTCTCCCTGTCAAGTGTCACTATTACGATGGACAGTCCTGACTCCTCCGCCGCCGTTTAATGCCCACTTCACCGTTCATGCTGCTCCTGTCATCCCGCCTCCTCCTCATCTTCCCAGTCTATTGAGGAGAGATGAAGCACAAGTGACTACAGCAGTCTGAAATAAACCACTGTTGATAAGGCCAATCATTAGATGAATGAAAATAGTTATGAAATGTATATTTTTATTTATATGTATATATGTCCTAAGACATCTTATATAAAAACTGAAAATCAGTTAAAGAAAAAATAATTAAATCAAAACTGTGAAAAACAAACAAAATTTTAATCCATCATTGCTATTAAAACATGTTTTATTAACATTTTGTGTTGTTGCTTTTTGTATTTTCTTCTTTTGTAACAGAAGAGTGTCTACATCAATAGTTAGGAAAATCAGCAAATCCATGAATGAACACTAGAGGTCAGCACAATACTGAAGAAAGCACAAGAATACACAGCAGGACGATTTACTAACAAAATGTAACTGAAACCTATTTTAAAAACACTATATAATAATGCTAATAATAATTCTTAACATAAGACACAAAATGACCAATAGTTGAACAAAGTCTCCCAACCAGATAAATTAACTAATTTCAAAGGTTTAATAGGAGTCAGATGTACCTAGAAAGACTGAAATTCAATAATTGTGAAGTCTAGTCCTCTACTATTTCTTGTTTAAATTCTACTTATCTACGGATATATGAATGCAAAGGGTCTTAACCTTGATATCAGTGGAAAGTGAGAAGGAAGAGCCATTTATGTGGTGCTGATTTGCTTTGTCTTTCATTTGTAAAGTATTGTTGTGACATTGCTTTAAAAGGTCATATATAAATAAAGAAAATACCTGTACATTAAACAAGCTGTGGTAGATCAGGTCTGTGTGTGTGTGTGTGTGTGTGTGTGTGTGTGTGTGTGTGTGTGTGTGTGTGTGTGTGTGTGTGTGTATTTAATTCACTTAAATAAAAGAAAAGAAAACACGAACACGAACGAGTCAGGCTGACTGTTTGTCTAC